TTATAAAAATAAAATTACGAAATTACGAAATAGGTACTAACAATATGTTATAACACAAACTGCTCACCCACTGTCTATTTGACAATCTATCGTCATCAGATAATACATTTTTTGTCGATTAAGATTAAGCGTTTGGACTTTTTTAAATTTAATTCTGTTATTTAATTTCTGACGCTTTTGTACGATACGACTTGTTTTTCTTATCCCATTTTGGCGCTTATGKACGATACGATTTTGGCGCTTTTGTACGATACGACTTTTTTTTTCTTATCTTATTTTGGCGCTTATGTCTTACACCGAGAAGAACCCTGGGTACTGGGGCCTGGACTTTCGAGGGGCCCGTCGTTCGTGTGATTTAATTCAGTAACAAAGCCAAAAATATGAAGTGGGAGGATTTGCTTACATTAAAAACACGCACACATATATATTATATTATGCGGTTAAACAAAATACTCAAAAAATCGTGTGTGATGGATAAAAATATGATTGYGGTATTTCTTGCGGTATAGGCACCTATATAATATAATGAGACATGTCACATGTCACACATAAGTACATATTATAACACACATATTACCAATATAATACTGGCGCCGAGAATAAGCTCGTATTTTCGCTACAGGGGTCGCGAGCTGCAGCCCGTGAATATATGAGGCGGTGGCGACGTTTCGCGAATGAGCTTTTCACGAGCGGCACCCGCCGAGCGCGACGGCCAAAGCGCGCGCGCACGGTCAGTGCTCTATGGGCTTTTGCCGGTGGTACGTTACCGTCGCGCTCCGCAATCGTCGAGCCAACGTCATCTCGTGCGACAAAAATCGTATACATTACACGGCTCGACACGATTTCCACTGACATCCGACAGATTAATACGTTTTTTAATTTTTAATTTTTTGTACATTAATTTATTCATTCGTATACGAATTCGGTTTACGTCGACACAAAGTTCTTTTACAATATCATACACGTTATAATTCACTCGGAAAACAGCATAGTCGCGAACATTTTTATCGCCGTATAGATCTTCTCATATATAATTCATTATTTTACTTTATTGTATGATAAATTAAGATATCGTAAATAACAATTTCTTTTTATAAGGTCTGCGCGATTTGTCCTCGAAAGTTTCTCTAAAGCTTCTCAAAAATATTCATTATAGTTTTTTCACTTGATTTTTCGCTATTATTATTTTTATGAAAATTGTCTCTACCATTTGTCAATTAAAATGTCCAACGTAAGTTTTTGCTGTTGTTACAAACAGGCGGATGTGATGAAATGCGTCGACACAATTGTGGACAAGTGTACGGACCCGGGATGTGAGTATATAAATACAACTCATTAGTCATTATTCATTAGGTATATAAAGAAAATGTACACCTAACAATTTTTGTTAAAGTTATTATTATTATTTTTTATTTTGTCGACTCAAAATAACCAACGAGAAATATAATATTTTTTAGTTCTGTACTTTTGTTTCCATGTTGTAGGAGGCACTTGAAATTTACGTTTAATTCTATAAAMGGGGGTATAATCGACCTTTTCCTTTTTAAATGTCGTATATAGTCGTTTCTTTTCAGTCTACATCCCCATATTATAATTAATCACTGACGTTACAAAAAYCTTGTTAAAGTATAATAACGCTCACAATGTCTGAAACCGTCTAAGTGCTATCAACACATACATTCTTTATTTTTAAAATAATTCTAAAACAGGCGCTGTACTTACAGTTAGATTAAGATACTAATTTTGTTATGGCATTTAATTTAAAAATCAAATTTATTAATATTTTCAATAGGTAGGTACCTACTTCATAAATGTAGCGCATTAGCCATTGCTCACGTTTTAATGAAAATCGATGTTTTATCACATTCGTACATAAATCATAAATTAGCGTTTCGGTTATTAATGTATTTTAATTTTATAATCGCGTTATTGAATAGTGGCTTACYCACATGCTAAATTATAATCAAATACAAACCAGTATATTATCTTTATTTAATATTGACTTCAATAACATTACGTTAATTGACTTTGATATACAATTAAATTAAAAAAATTAAAAATGCTATATATTATGTATATATAAACATTTAAGCACTTTATTACTGCAATCTAAATAACGTACCTAGTTAAAACTTACAAAATAAATATAATACCTAATTAGGAAGTTTTATATATGAGGATGAACAATTTAACGAACTTATTAATGTGAATTGTAATACGAATTATAAATTCTACCTATTATGATTAATATGATAATAAATAATGTTTTAATTTAGATATTTTTAATCYGTATGTAGATTGTCAAAATAAATTATATAAAATGTATCGTTGACGTATATTTTCATTTMAATTTATTTATTTTATAATTAAATATTACAAAATAATAGGGTTAAACAAATTGGATAATTTATTCTGCATTCCAAAAATGTGTAGTCTGATATTTCGTTTTCTGCATGTATCTTTAAATATAAATTAAATAAATTATCGGTCCAAAATCGTCACATAAAGAAAAATATAAGAAAACAATGGTTTTTAATCAYAATTGTGTAAGATACCCTTTATTGCTATTCCATATAAATATCAGATATTCTTTCATGTACCTATGAAAATAAAAATAATTAAATTTCGTTTTACATCATAAATCACTATTTATTGAAATGATATTGCCTGTACGGCAATAACAGCAAATACTGCACCTGGCCATATTGTACCTACCTATAACATTAATTTATCATACAGGTCAAGGACGCGACTCATTGCAGTGTGACAATTTTATTTAACCATTAGGCCATCGCGCCAAATAAGACATGTTTTCTATGTATATGTGAACAATACGTGTATCAATGTTTATAGTAGTAAACTAGTAAATACATCAGATTACCATGTAATGTTTAGGGATCCGTTTGGCACACCGTAGCCCGAAACCATAACCCAAATAAACAATGTCTATATTATAGTATATTATATTTATATTATATAAATACACTATACAGGGTGATTCACTAAGCATCCTCGCCTCCTTCCTTTTTTGTTTATTCGAAAATATTATTCAAATTTTAATTTTTAGATTTTGTATGTATACATATATGCTTATAAAGACTATATTATATTCGAATATTTGGATTATTATTAATGCGATTTAAAGGATGTGACGATAAAACTTATATTTTCAAATGTGAACTAACCTTTTTATTGTTAATTTATTATTAATTACCATAAGGCATAAAGGAATTAATGTTTTTGAAAATGTTGATATATAGGAATCGAATTTTAAATATTAATATATTTTCTGAGTGAATAAACTTTAACAACTAATGAGTAAGGATAATAATATTTTCCATGATATCAGTTTAGAAAATATGGAGGCTTTGGTAATTTAAAAATTATAGTTGATTTATTCAAGTTTTTATTAATTARCTTAACTTATCTGAGTTTATTAAATAATTAAAAATTACCACGAATTAGTTACCTACATTCATTTTAGATTTCATGTAAAGCTGTTATTAAGAACTATTATTCTTAGTACCAAAATTAGTAAACATTCCAAAAAAAATTTGAATAAATACATTATTTGAAAGACTAAAGGGGTGGTTAATCACCCTATGTCSCCGTATAACAAACATTTACGTCYGACAAGAATCGATTTCTAGAGTTAATCCATTATAATATGTCATTTAGACCCATTTACAATGTTTCAGTGAACTACATCCAGAACCGTTTATCAAATATTCGAATTCATTGTCTTTTCATATAACTATAAAATTTAAAATAATGGTGTATTGTGTAAATTGTGTGTAAATTGTATCCTTCCTGATATGAGTATAAAAGTGTATATTTTTGATTTTGAATATTTCAAACTTCAGTATATTAAAATTTATTTATAGTCTAACACATATAAAATGTGATATATCATATATGTATATTGAATATTTTCTCTCTATTAATTAAATGTTAATTTATATAATTATTGACAATTAGCATACACGTTTGTATAACAATAATACAACATGAAACATATCAACCGTAGGTATTTACCAAAATGTTATATGTAGGTATTCCCTGTATTATTTATTTATAGGATTATCAAAAGGACATCCGACTTCTTTTAATATCATATTTACAAAAAAAAGTGAGGGAAATATAATTTTAATTATTTATCTAATGAGTAAAATGTGTTTAGCAGTTCAACTATAAATAGATAAGTTTGGTAGTTTAGTTTGTATTTTAGAAATCAATAATTAAAAGGTGTAGATTTTTTTGACTTGGATACTTAATATACAATTAACTATAGGTACTAAAGATGAACAATAATATTAATTTTAAGCTTTAAGTAATGATAGCTTTAATCATTTAATTAGTATTCTRGCAAAAATTCAACAACTTATTACCTACAACTTGTAATAACTTATAAATAATGAGAAACGGTTAACAAGGTATAAGGTAATCTAAACTAAATGAGAAAGCGATAAACCCTATGAACCTGTATCTTGTTATAGTTACTTCACTTACCTATTTAGTATTTACCAATATTTAAACATAAAAATGAATGACATTATTAATTTTTTTATTGGTGAAAATATATTATATTATTAAGATATTGATTTTTGAATTAATAAAATAATCTACATTATTTATAAATTATATGTTGAAACTGTTATAAATAATTATAATATATTTATTATTTATAGATGTACCTATACATTTTTAATATTTTTTTAATTATATACAAGACTGGACTATAATTGTGATTAAAACAATAAACTTGAAAGAAGGCATGATTGGAAGTAAAAGTAATAATTAATAACTGTATAGAGCGAGGACTTATATGTACTAAAAATTAATCAAATATATAATGCAGTATTGCAGTTGAATATGCCTTAAAAATAATTACATTCTTTTATAACACTAAAAATTCCTTAATTCAATTTTTATGTATTTATTATAATGTTTATATATGTATAATGTATATAATATATATAATATATACTGTGTGTCCCAAAATACAGGGTACACTTTATCACTCATTACCCTGTAAATATCTTTCAATTCTGTTTGCAGGACATTAAATTATACTAATCATCTTAAAAAATTTTTAATTCCTGTATTTTGCGCATACACAACAAAACTTCATTTTTTTCAGATAGCAACCATCACTATTTTAAATATCATTTTCGGATTGATCGATTTTTTTCAAAACATTTTGATGAATCAACTTGTGCTAACTTAACCTTATCTAAATTAGAGTCGTAGATATAAATATAAATCTTATTAAATTTGAATATATACATTTTTTTTTTTTAATTGTTCGTATTATTTATTTCATTCTAAACACCATGATGTATCAAAATTATTATCATTTAGTAATAAATTATAATTGAAACTATTTGTTTAAATTATGTTATTTCATAATGTATATTAATAAAATAGAATAATAATTTATAAAAGGTAAATAATTTTATTACTTAATAATAATAATTTTGATTACATTACGGAGTTTAGAATAATATCAACAGTTTAAAAAAAAAATATTTAAACTTATTAATTATKAATTTTTTTTTCAATATGTATATTTTTTTTTAATTGTTGATATATTTCCTTCTAAACTCCCTAATGTAATCAAAATTACAAAATTATTATTATTAACAAGTTGTCTGCCTCGAGCGTCTTATTTAACTCTCACCTTACCTTGCAATTTCGTTTGATAAGAAATTTAAAAACCGCCTGTATTAGCTTTGAGAGTTAAATTTGATACACACTGTGGTTGTTGTTATGGGCTATGAGCATTAAATTTGACTCTCACATATTTTATTATTTTTTTTTTTTTGTGAGAATTGCGCTTATCTCTCATTCGTGTGCATCACTGGAAAGAGGAGAAAAAATTGAATATTAGGTTATAAAAAGCGGGAGCAATTGTCATTGTTTTGAATGTATTGTGATATAGGTACTTAAGTAATAAATTATTTACCATTTATAAATTATTATTCCATTTTATTAATACAGATTATGAAATAACACAATTTAAACAAATAGGTAGTTTCAATTATAATTTATTACTTAATAATAACAATTTTGATACATCATGGTGTTTAGAATGAAGTAAATAATACGAACAATTTAAAAAAAATATGTATATATTCAAATTTAATAAAATTTTTAAATTATACCTACGACTCTAATTTAGATAATGTTAAGTTAGCACAAGTTGATTCATCAAAATGTTTTTAAAAAAATCGATCAATCCGAAAATGATATTTAAAATAGCTATTTTAATATACCTCTAGAGGTTGCTATCTAAAAAAATGAAATTTTGTTG